CATGGAAGCTTCTGGGCCAAGGGTCACTACCTCTTGCTCACTTTGTTGCAATCGATCCTCCAACTCAATGGCCTCAACAGCTCGTGCTTCCAGTTCCAAGAGACGAGCAGCAATTTATTCTAGCTCGGTCAACAGTTGATCCTGCCCGGAGGTGAGTTCCTCCTATCATGAATCAACCTTTGAAGGCCCTCAGAAGCAAGGAAGTTAGCCCGCAAAACAGAAATACAAACTAAAAACCCTACCATAACAAAGATAGAAAAAATAATAGAGGAAACAAAGTCTGTACCCTTGTTGCGTTGTGCATGGCATTGTTCAAAAAACACTCTCCCGAGAGAGATTGTATTTTATTCCTATCTTTTTCTGAAGCCAGAGGCTTCAGATAATTAGCAAGTTCCACCTACCGGGACAGCAAATGGCATTTAGTAGAAACCGAGAGGGAAACTCTCCTCCTCCTTTGAGGATCTTCGGAGGGGGTAGAGTAATTATGCCCCAAATTCCCATGAACTGGGGATTGGGGAAGAGTAACATCCTCCTCTCGGATGACTGCGGCTTGTGAAGATGATATAGCGGTTGTTGGTGGCGAAGGCAAGGTTGGAGAAGAAGGAGATGAAGCTGATGGTATTATAGGTTGAGAAGCAGCTGCGGCAAATGCAGTGCTAGTTGTTAGGTTCTCATTAACCAAAGACGGAAGAGACTCGGTACCCAGCCTCACGCTACCAGGCACGAAGACTGGGACTCGAAAGCGAGAGTTAAAATCCTCCACCATATCATATTCCCTCCAGAGTGTTGGGGTGTCGTCTTCGGTTAGCGTAACTAACTCAACAGATTGAGCATTCTGTTGAGCTGATGAAGGTCATCGTCTTCTATATAGAGAAGCTCCATTATCACTGGCTCCTCCATCATCATCGATCACCACGGTGTCTATGGTTGGTTCGGGGGCAGCACTCATCACCACAACGTCCGTGGATAGCTCGGGTGCAGCGCTCTTCGCCTTTTTATTTTTGCCCTCGGTCGTGGATGAACATCGCCTTTTTTGTTGCTTGTTCTCCGTCCAGGGACTCCGAGAAGAAGCACTTGCACTGGAAGCAGGCTTGGTGACAGATGTTCGGGTAAAGGCCTCCTGCAGCAACCTCACTGCATCAGCCAAAACGTCCTCCTCTAGGACGGTAACAGAGCCCTGCGGTAGACCTGAATTCAACATGGAAGAAAAGTTAACCAATTTTCCTATACAAAGAATAAAAACAAGATAAGTTTAACCTACCACGATTGTTGGCCTTCCACCCATATTTAAGGTCCAGTTCTTTCCACTTGTGGGTCTCTGGCGTAGTGACATCCAGAATCTTTTGGACCCACTGATCCAAGCCTTCAAGCCTAAGGTGGTGTCCACCGAGTTGTTAGAATAGTAAAAGAAGAAAGATCAGTAACAACATTGGACAATCCTTAACTAGAAGAAAGGATAAAAGATGAACTTACGAGTGCGGTCCATAATTCAGAAAAGGATGGAGTCGTGGCCGGAATGATGTCCCTGGTGGTAACTGCGATGAACTGCTCCATCCATCCACGGTCGTTGCCATCATCCATGCTGGTTAGCAACACATGGTGGCCACGTTTGCAGAAGTTTATCATTCCCCCAAGAAAAATCTTGGGGGAATAAAGTTTCATCAGTCGAGCCTGGGATAACTCTTCTCCCATCTCCTAGCATAGACACCGAAGACAAGCAACAGTTCGCCACACAGAGGGGCTCACCTGTGCCAAGCAGACTTGGTGACGAAGGCAAAACTCCAAGATAACGGAGTCAATCCCCCCGTTCATCGAGAACAAGCCCAAAGTAAAGGGATACGTATAAACATACGTAAAACCCTTCTTGTAAAAGGTTACCCGCTCCGCTAGGTCAGGAGCGATGATGTTTAAATCTTGACTTCACAGCAGGGATGCTAAAAGGATGGATGGAAAAAGGATGCACGCCAACAACCCATGTGCGAGGGTTAGCAAAAGGGTACTTCTCTTCGAAGTCCTTAGTTGTGATGAGTTTTCTGGGAATGATGGTGCTCACCGTAGGAGGAGAAGCATCATCAGTATTTTCTTTGTTCTTTGAGGCACTAGGATTTCTAGAAGATGAGGCCATTGTATCAACAGGGAGAAAAGGTTTTTTCTCTGAAGAAGAAGATTAGAGGGAGTTGAAAGCAAGTGTGAGTTGAGTAAGGAGAGTTCGAGAGACTTTAGAGAAGCATGAAGTGAAAATGGGAAGAGTGATACGTATAAGTAAAGGGATAGCCGGGTAAAATCGTGGCCATGATTACCTCGAGAACCAGCGAAAGTGTTGCTGAATCATGGGATGATGCGTGTTCGGGGCATTAAATGCGGAGAGACGTGCGTCTAATCAACCGTCAGAAACTTTTCAGAGGGGCTCATGAGAATTTTCCGCCAAGAAAGGTATCTTTACCAACTTCCCGGTGACACAAGGGTATGCCACCGGAAAACAGGGGACTATCTGTATAGGGTAAAATATATTCATATTAGATGCTCACATGATAAAGTGATACGCGGAGCCGAAGAGAAGGCAATCAGGTCTGAAGGCAACAATCGCATTTGTCCCCGAAGGGGATGGTGTTCATAAAGGCGAAACAAATGCCTGCCACCCGGTAGCATTTAATGAAAAATATTCTATAACATTAAGTACATGGCCAGTTATAGAGAATATGACATTCACTGCCTACCGTTACACATTCTTCAATAGCCCTTATAATTGTCATTTAAGAGGGGCTTGATCCTAGGACCTTGTTCCCTAGGTGCAACTATAAATAGTGAGCTTTACAACCATTGTAAGGGACACGAATATTCTGACAAGCATATACTATACTTTGTTCAAAACTCTATAATATTTTATCTTCCTACTTAAAAATATTTGTTACTATTGTCTCCGGAAGCTCTGCTCCAGGAACCAGGATTTCTGCTGTTTTATCTCGATTTCAACGTTAAGTCCTATATTCTTGTTTAATTTATTTATCATTTTAGGGTCAAGTCGATTTACTTGTCTATAAATCACGTATAAATTCAATTGTGCCGCTTTACGGGTAAACATGAATAATTATGTAGTACATTAGCGAAACTCCAAATAAAAAATACTTATAAAAACTTAACATTTACCCTAACAATATTGATATTTCATAGTTAAGAGATAAAATGAAATAAGAGTATATAATATAAACTCTAATTAAGTAATTTATGCAACAAAAAAATTTCATTCTGCATATATAATTTAATTCAAATATTAAATACGAGTAAGTTTTTATCTTCTCGATTTAAAAACTGTAGACCTTAGCCTAAAATATGAGGGAGAAGTTTAAGCTTCAATTGGATGTAATGCTGGATGGAGGACCAACACAACAACGTGAGCTGTGAGCATACTCATCATCTTTAACTTATGTATATATAAGATAAAATTTATATTAAGTAGTACGTATTTATAATTACAAAAAATAGTAATCATAAATTTTTTGCACTAGTTATACAATTATCACAACAATGCCCATTGTTATTATGAGAAAGAGAGGAGCGACAAAGCAAAGCAAGCAAGCTGGCGTTTGTTGCTTTGATCGGGTCAAACGGTTCTCTAATTCCAAATTGCAAATAGACAAATAATAATTAATGACACACGTGTGTTCACGCCTGCCGGTTCTGCCCCGTCGTGGACCACTACCCATTAGTTCCTTTGACGGAGAAGGCCAGACTTTATTTTTGTTTTATATTCTTGTTGTGCATCTTTTGTTATTCAATATCGAAAAATTAATTTTGAATTATTTTGGAAGTGCTTATATATTGCCGCTAGACCCAAAAATTGTGTCATTTCTTCGTATGTATTGTTTCAGAAAATGATGCACGTTGACGAAACTGTTTTGTTTCCAAAACCAAATAGACTTGGGAGGACATTGGTGATTGAGTTTATGTGAACTTAGGGGTGGCAAAAGTAATCCAAATCCATTTGACCCGTTCAACCTGCACAATTTTAATAGGTTTGTGGTTAGAACAGTTTTAAAAAGGGATTTATACATACCTATACATTATTGGAAACTTTATTACCTTCCCTACTCAAGTTTCAATTTAATTACTGTTGGACTTCAGCTTACTAGTCTGCGGCCCATGATACAGGGCCACTACCAGTTTAGCTAGGGTGTATTTATTTGTATTTGAGCTTCTGGGCTAAAGCCCAATATAATGTAAAAACAATAGAGAGATAGAGGTTAGGTCGGTACATTCTAGAACTTAACAGAAATGAAATTTTCTCTCTCTCGTTCCTCTTTCTCTAATGAACCCTAATCAATTCTTCTTCATACTTAGCTCAATTTAGTAAATATACATGGTATCAGAGCGGATGATCCGCTGATTCTCTTCTTCCTGTTTTGAGCGGTGTTACCCTCACTCATTTTCATCAATTTTTCACTCGATTGTCAGTGTTCGTGGTTGACTCTGCTTCTGGTAGTTTCCTCTGGATTTGCAGACAAAATCAAGGTAGGAGTTACTTATTCATCATCTATTGGTGGTATGTGTGATACGTGTGGGTGATTTTGGATCGAATTGGACCGATTTCCTCCTCCGCTGCTGACCTAGGGTTTTTTCATTCAGACTTTTGGAATCTACATTCATGGCCGTTTGTTTTCCTGTAGCGAAAACATATGGTAATCTCTTTCAATTTTCCTTTCCTTGCATTGGTCATCTGTTTACTTCGACGAAAGTCTCTGACTGTCGCTATGGGAGGTTCTGATACATCCTCGAGTACTACCTATACTCCTGACCCATCCAGTCCGCTTTTTTTACTTTCTTTTGATGTGCCTGGTGTATCTCTTGTTAGTGTGCCCTTCTCTGGGACTGGTTTTGGGGGTTGGAGGCGGAATATGATCGTATCTCTGTTTGCTAGAAATAAAATAGGATTCATTGATGGGAGTTGTCCGAGACCAGCTGAGGATACTCCTCAGTTTAAGTAGTGGGATAGGTGTAATAATATGGTTATTTCCTGGTTGACTAATTCCCTATCCCCGGACATAGCTGAGAGTGTTCAATACTCGGATACTGCTGAAAGTATTTGGGGTCAGCTTAATAGAAGATATGGTTCAGTTAGTGGAATTAAGGTGTTTGAGATTAAGCAAGAGATAACATCTACTCATCAGGGTTCATTGAACATTGCTTCCTATTTCAACAAACTCAAGAAGTTATGGGATGAACTGAGGTTTATGTGCACTAATCATGCCAACACTTGTGTTTGTGCTGCTAAACCTGGACTTCAGAAGGAGGAAGAGGAGAACAGATTACACCAATTCCTCATGGGTCTGAATGAGACCTATGTTGGTGTTAGGAGCAACTTGCTCATGATGCAACCTCCACCTTCTCTCGATACTGCTTATAGTATCCTCCTCCAAGATGAAAAGCAGAGGCAAATTACTCCTAATTCTCATTTCCAGGGTGACTCTGCTTCTTTTCATGTCAATCTGAACAATAAATCTGCCCCTCCTAGACAGTTTGTCCAGAAAGTCAGTTTTGATCAGAACAAGTCTTCTCTTTTATGCAAGTATTATAAGAAACCTGGACATTTGATTGATAAATGCTATAAGCTCCATGGATTTCCACCAAACTTTAAATTCACCAAAGGTGAACGAACTGCTGCAAATGTTGAGGTGCAGAGTTCAGCTTGTGCTTCTGAATCTGCACCAGTTTCCACTGAGAGTCCTGTTGATTCTAATTTTGTGATTCCTGGTCTGTCTAAGGACCAGTATGCTCAGCTCCTGGTGTTACTTCAGCAACATCACATTTCAGAGTCTCTCCCTTAGTCTAATCTGATGGCTTCTGCTAATTTTGCGGGTATAGTTCCTTCCCCTGATTGTGTAGGTAAGGTGTCTTATGGTGCGTGCATGCTAACAAGAGTTCATGAGTACACTTGGATAATAGATTCTGGGGCCACTAATCACATGACTTCTAAGAAAGAACTTCTTTTTTATATTCAGCCTTTAGTTGTCCCATATTTGGTCACACTTCCTAACGGATATAAAGTCAAAGTCACTTGTACTGGTTCTCTTCACTTTCTTTCTTTCACACTTCATCATGTACTTTTTGTCCCTAGTTTCCAGCACAATCTTATTTCTGTTCACAAGCGTGTTGCACAATTAGATTGCCTGGTTTTGTTTGGTAAATCTTCATGTTTTCTCATACAGACCCCTTCAATGAAGAGGCCACTGGAAATTGGTAAACAGGATCATGGGCTATACAAGCTTGTGCAGCCATGTCCACAATTTGATTCTACTGCTCTTGCTGCTGCTTGTAATAGTTTTCCTACTTGTTCTTCTATGTCATCCAATTGTAAATACCATTCTCCATTGGCTGCTATTGGAACTGATAATCATTGTACCTACCATTCTGATTTGAATAAAATGGAGATTTTATGGCGCAATAGGTTGGGGCATATCCTCTTTGACAGAATGAAGGATATTTCATCCATTCCATGCAAATTTTCCTCCAAACAACCTTTTACTTGTTGTATCTGTCCCTTAGCTAGGCAACCTAGACTCTTCTTTCCTGATAGCTCTATCAAAACTTCTCATCCTTTCCAACTTGTACATGTGGATACTTGGGGACCATATAGCACTCCTACTTACAATGGGTGCAAATATTTTTTGACTATAGTAGATGATTTCACTAGATCCACTTGGACTCACCTTATGGGGTCTAAAAGTAATGCTTTTCCTCTGATTAAAGCTTTTGTTGCCATGGTCAAAACACAATTTCAAACTTGCATTCAAACTATTAGAAGCGATAATGCTCGTGAACTTGGGTCTGGTGCTCTTGTTGGCCAATTCTTTGTTGACAATGGCATTGTTCACCAAACATCTTTCCCACACATACCACAACAAAATGGGGTAGTTGAAAGAAAACATAGGCATTTGTTGGAAACCTCTAGAGCTTTACTTTTTCAATACAAGTTACCTATTAAGTTTTGGGGTGATTGTGTCCTCACTGCCACTTACCTCATTAATAGATTCCCTTCCAAATTGCTTGCCAATAAAACTCCTTTTGAATTACTCTTTGGGAAACCCCCCTCATTTAATCACATTAGAACCTTTGGTTGCTTGTGTTTCTCCACATTTCCTAAGTGTCACAAGGACAAGTTTCAACCTAGAGCCGATCCTTGTGTTTTCCTGGGATATCCCTTGGCTAAAAAAGGTTATAAAATTTACAACCTAGCTACTAAACTAACCTTTATTTCTAGAGATATAGTATTTCATGAGGGTATTTTCCCTTTTGCCTCAGTCTCTCCTTCATTTGTTACTTCTACATTATCTTCTTCTCCTGTTCCTTTCTCTTCTGATGAGTTTCATTACACCTCTTCTCATGAACCTGATCATGTCTCATCCTCAACATCTGTTACTTCTCCCTCTTCTTCTTCTATTCCTTCTCATGTGTCTGTTCCTCTCTCTTCTCCTATCCTTGAACCTGCTCCTGCTCCTCCTATTGCCCCTAGTTTATCTCCAGCTCCTGTTAGGAGATCCACCAGAAATCATGTTACTCCTAGTCATCTTCAACAGTATGTTTGCAGTCTGCCTCCTTCTCTATGTGGCTCTAGTTCTTCTCCCTTTTGTGCTCAAAGTTCAGTTAGCACTGCTGGCCTGGAACCCCAAGCTTACCATCAGGCAGCTTCTATTCCAGCTTGGCAAGAGGCCATGAGAAAGGAATTTGAGGCTCTTGAGGCTAATGATACTTGGTCCATTGTTGAATTACCTCATGGCAAGAAATCCATAGGTTGTAAATGGTTCTATAAGATAAAATATAAGGTTGATGGGTCTATAGAAGGATATAAAGCTAGGCTGGTTATTAGGGGTGATACACAGGTGGAGGGTGTAGATTTTTAATGAAACTTTTTCTCCAGTCATCAAATTTTCTACTGTTAAATGTCTCATTGTTGTGGCTGTGAAAAGGAATTGGTCTATGTTTCAACTTGATGTAAATAATGCATTTTTGCATGGGGACTTGGATGAGGAGGTCTACATGAAATTGCCCCCTGGTTTGTCTGCTAAGAGTGTTGCTTCATCTGGTCAGTCTTCTAATTTGGTTTGTCATCTTCAAAAATCTTTGTATGGTTTGAGACATGCATCTAGGCAGTGGTATGCCAAGCTGTCTCATGCTTAGTGTTCTAGGGGTTATTTCCATTCTTTGAATGACTATTCCCTTTTCATTAGAAGATCAGGTGGTTCCATTGTCCTCCTTGTCGTTTATGTGGATGATATAATACTTACTGGTGATGATTTGGAAGAAATCTCTGCTTTGAAACTCTTCTTGGACAATCAGTTCAAAATCAAAGATCTGGGTGTTCTTAACTACTTTCTTGTCATAGAAGTGGCATGTCTTCCTTTTGGGCTATTACTACATCAAAGAAAGTTTATCAGAGATCTACTTTATGATTACAATTGTGATATGTTGTCTCCTGTGACTTGTCTTTTGGATTTGAACTCTAAGTTGAAGGCTGCCATGGGTGATCCTCTGCCTTCTCCTGACACTTATAGAACCTTGGTGGGGAAGTTGAACTTTTTGACTCACACAAGGCCTAACCTTTGCTTTACTATCCAACATCTCAGCCAGTTCATGCAGGCCACTTGTACTTCCCACATGAAGGCTGCTTTGCATTTACTTCGATACCTCAAAGGTACTTCTGATGTTGGGGTGTCATATGGCAATTCTCCATCTCTTTCTTTGTCCGCTTTCTGTGATAGTGACTGGGCTGCTTGCCTAGACACTCGAAGATCAGTCACTGGGTTTTGCATTCTTTTGGGGGATTCTCTCATTGGTTGGAAGGCTAAGAAGCAACTAGTTGTATCCCTTTCTTCCGCTGAGGCTGAGTACAGTGCTCCTAGTAAGGTGGTTACGGAGTTGACTTGGGTTGTTCAACTTTTATCTAATTTTGGTGTTGCTGTATCTTCTGTTGTGCCAGTGTTTTGTGACAACCAGGCGGCCATTAAGAATCTTGTTTTTCATGAGCGGACAAAGCACATTGAATTGGATTGTCATTTCGTTCGGAATAAACTTGGTGATGGACTAATCTCCTTGCATCATGTTACTACCACTTCTCAGCTCGCTGACATTTTTACAAAGCCACTCACTGGAGCTATTCATCACTCTTTGTTGCTCAATTGGATCTCCTGTCTCNTCAAGTTGGGGGTTGTAGCACCCTCCAACTTGAAGGGGGGTGTTGTACTTCAGCTTACTACGGCCCATGATACATGCCCACTACCAGTTTAGCTAGGGTGTATTTATTTGTATTTGAGCTTTTGGGCTAAAGCCCAATATAATGTAAAAACAATAGAGAGATAGAGGTTAGGTCGGTACATTCTAGAACTTAACAAAAATGAAATTTTCTTTCTCTCGTTCCTCTTTCTCTAATGAACCCTAATCAATTCTTCTTCATACTTAGCTCAATTTAGTAAATTTATAATTACCTCCTATATACAGATTTACCAATTATATACACTTTAGGAATTAAATGAGTATCCCTTTATATTAGGAATCAATTATTTCTCATCCATATTCTCTCTCCCTAATGCGCTCTCTCTCTCTCTCTCTCTCTCTCTCTCTATATATATATATATATATATATATATATATATATATATATATATATATATCAACCCCTAATTCCAGTAATGTAGAGCAAAAGAAAAGAGAGCAGCAATTCCACCATTGACAGCAATTAAAAAGCTTTGAATTCGAATTTGGGTTTTCAAAAACATTATTTGTTTGAATTGGGTGTTGTTGCAAACAATTGATAATTCTCTTTATGTCTCTCTCTATCTCTCAATCCCTAATTCTAGTAATGTAAACCAAAGGAAAAGAGAGCAGCAATTTCCACCATTGACAGCCATTAAAAAGCTTTGAAACTTTGAATTCGAATTTGGATTTTCAAAAACCATTATTTGGATTGGGTGTTTTTGCAAACAATTGGGGGTTTGGAGTTTATATCTCAATTTTGAGGGTGTTTTGGTAAAGATTAGACTTGATTTTGGCTGAATTTCAGATTGAAACTCGAAGAAGAAGAAGACATGACATACATTATACTTCCAAAATTGTAGTACAGTTGTAGTAAAATTGTAAAAAAATTATATTCTGTTGTTTATATATATATAAAAATTATAAATATTGTATGAAAGTTGAACAATATTTGTATAAAAATTGTATCTAAGCTGTATGATATTGTAGTTGTATATAACTGGGTAGAAATAATGTACGAAGGTTGTAGATAAGTTGTATAATATATCTACAACTACAATAACAAAACAAGCTACTTTTTGATATTTTAAAGTGCTAGCTATATAGCAGTTTGATTCCAAGCTACTTTCCCTATTCCAATAGGAATTCATTTATAGGCCAATGTTGTTGATATAGCAAATGGAATAGAGATTACAACAGTGAAATATGAATAACTCATGCCAAAAATTGTCAGGACTTTTGTTCATCCTTTTTTTTTGATAAGTATTTAGACTTTTGATCCCTCTTGGGAAGTACAAGATAAATGAATAAAATGTGAATAACTGCCTTAATAATCCCTCTTATCATGTAAAGAATGACTTAATTTTGATCAAGCAACTTTATTTATTTGCGCAGAAGATTGGTAAAAGTCCACTGCCTGGGAACTAACTGGTGAAGATCTCATCGCTGGCCTTTCATCAAAAAGAAAATTTGAAAGCGCATGCTTTTGAATCAGTAACTGATTCCCAAAGGGAAGGTTTTTTCTGCTTGGCTTTTTTCTCCTCGTCTTTCAGATTCAACTCATCAATGGTTCCAGGAA